TTGAAGCTTACTCCCCAGTGCCACAGTACTAAGAGATAGAACCTTTCAGAGGCTGTGAGCATTATGTCTCAATGAACCGGATTAATGGTCTTATAAAGGTCATCTCCATCCTTTCCACTATGTGAGGGTACAGTATTTGTCCCTTTGGGAAGACACAGTAATAAGGTGTCCTCCTGAAAGCAGAGCCTTGGCCCTCACTAGATACTGAACCTGTAGGAGCCTCATTATGGCTTAGATCTAGAATGTTCCTGAGGGCCTCATGTGTTCAAAGGTGGGGCTTTTAAAAGAAGATTGGATTGTGGAGGTGCTATAATGATCAGTGGTTTTATCCAAGGATGAGTTCAGAGCTAAAGGCGCTGTTAAAAGTGGGGCCTAATCAGAAGAGGCGGGTCACTGGGGACATGGCCTGGAAGGATATACCTCTTCCCCAGTTCCTGCCTTCGCTCTCGGCTTCCTGGCCGGCATGATGTGAATAGCTTTCTTTCACCACAGGTCCTTCCACCATGCCCTTCCTGTCTTGCAGCCAGCCCACTATGGACTGAAAATTTGAGCCGAAATAAATCTCTCCTCCTTTAAATTGTTGATATTGGGTATTGTGTCCCAGCAATATGAAAGTACCTAAGAGAGTAAGCCTCGAGCTTGGACCTCCCAGCCTCCTGCACTATGAACAATAAATTTCTGTGTATAAATTGCCCAATTTAGGGCATTTTGTTATGGCACTGCAAAGAAAGACTGGGATCTTAGGAAAGGAGTTGGCCAGAAGAGTTGTTGAGTCTGGCTAGGGGTCCCTTATAGTTACTAGGGATGTCACCAAGACAGTGGGGTCTGGAGTTGGATGGACTTAAGAGCCCAAGCCAACTAGGAGTGTTACCTGCCCTCCTCACGGGTGACCCATGAGTCATTGTCAATCCACATCACAATCGTATAAAAGGTATTAATAACAGCCCTACTTATTCGGCAGCTGGTTCCATTTTTGGCCAATATGATCTCACTGGACTTTGTAATGACTCTGAGAAGCATGTGCCATTATCCTGTGTGACCACCTGGAAACTAAAACTCAGACCAAGAAACCCATGGAAGTGGCAGAGCTGGGTCCAAATCCATACTGAGTCCTAAAGTCAGTCCTCTTTCTACCAGAAAATATCCTCTACCACCACCACCACACGTCTCAGATATAAAAACCAAAGTGGAGCCAACCATCTTCCCAATGAGAACCAAAAAAGATGGCCGACCCTGTGTCACTTTGTCATGGCCAATGTGCATTACTTCACAGCTATCATCCCCCTCATGAAACCTCAGCCCTGTGAAGAAATGTTTCCTTATCCACCCATACCCTGACTGCAAACTATAACAAAAATCCTGCTTCTGCCTAATTTAAAGATATTTATGTCACACTTTGAAATGTCAAACGTTTTCATTAAGTCGTCTCACACTTGGGCTGACAGAGGGACACCAGGATCTTTGGGAGACACTTTAATCTCAATCAATTAGGAATCAAGTAGTCCTAGCAGTGTGGCGATAAAAAGAACACTTTAATTTTAGAGCTAATTAAATATCAACAATTGGAATGCAGCAACAGACACTTAACCTGCAGTAACCCATTATTTATTAGGAATATAATGCATTGGCTCTGGATAGGAAGTGAGTTGTAGTCATTTTAATATCAGCTGTCACAGACCAACGGCTCCCTTTTATTTTGCTCTGCACAATCATCTCCCAGGCTCCACGGGGATCATTTCAGCACCCGCGCTCGACACAAGATTAATTAAGCTGGAGCCCCATACAGGAGTGGCAGCATGAGGATGCCTTGGCCCTGGGCCACACCACCTAGTCCCCAGCAAGGACTGCACAAGCAGCTATTAAGTAGGCACAGGTCCATGTGGGCCAAGGGGGACAAGTCTGGGCCTGGAAATAGACCAGTTGTGATGCTTTGAGCTACAAGTAACAAGGGAAAAAAAACTCACAGACTTCCTTCTAAAAGTACTTTAACAGTAAGGGTTATGATCACACACAGAGGAAGTGTGGGGTGGGTGGGGCAGCAAATGTGGATAATTCAAAAACCTAATGCTGGGGCCGGGGATTTAGCTCGGTGGCGCCACGCCTGCCTCAAAAGTGCAAGGTCCTTAGTTCGATCCCTGGTATCGGGGTAAAAAAAATTTAGAAAAACCTAATGCTATGTTAAACACTCAGATGCTGCCTTCTCCCGGCTCTGCTGTCCTTACCAGGTATACGACATCACTCTTCTCGGTGCCAAGGTGATCACTGTGGTTCTGTCCCACACGCAGGGTAATGTCACATAAAGGGGAGAGTGCTGGCTTCTGCTCCACTAGTTTGGAATTAATTTAGATTTCCTGAAAAGTTGCAAAGACTGTATAGTCACTCCAAACTCCCAATCTGATGTCCTCTGTTATTAACTGAACAGCAGGTTTTGCTCAAAGCTCATGAATATTCCCAATAACATTTTTTTTTTTTGTAAAATCCAGCCTCTCATCCAAGATATCACATTGCATTCAGTCATCTTGTGGCCTTGTTCCTCTGGCCTGTGATAGTTTCTTGGGCATTGTGCTTTTGATAAACTTGCTAGCTTTTCGTTTCTGTGGTAGGTTTCCTAGGGTTTTGTTCGTTCTGTTTTTTTGTTTTTCGAGACAGGGTCCAGCTGTGTACTTCAGGCTGGCTCTGAACTTTTTACATACCCCAAGTTGGCCTGAAACTTGAGATTTTCCTGCCTTAGCCCCTCAAATCCTGGGACTGCAGGCATACACTCCCACATCCAGCATGTCCTTGCTAGTTTTGAGAAGTGCCATCAGGCCTTCTGCAGAAGGTATAGCCATCTGGGTTTGTCTGATGTTTTCCTCATGGTTAGTATGGAGTTAGTGTGGAGTCACAGCTTTTGGGGAAGACCTTGGGGGTGAAGTGCCATCCTGTCACATTGTACAGGGAGTAGGTGTCACATGATATCTGCGTGACTCACCACCGACAGTGTTGAGCATGGGCACCTGGTCAAGCTAGTGTTTGCCAGGTTTCTCCACTGTGAAGCTGCACTCCTTTCCTCTCTCCCCACCACCCTGCAACCCTTGATCAGTGAGGAAGACCTTCCCCAAGTCACCAGCTCTCATCTCTGCATTCTTACATATAAGCCTTAACCAAGCTCCAGCAAAAGGAATCAAAAGGACCTTGTCCCACATAAGTCACACCCTAGGGCCCGTCCTGCAGGAGGACAGGGTCACCCACTCCTCACACCTGATGGAAACAGGGCTCAGCTAGTGAGAAAGAGAGGATGGTGGGCGGGTGGGAGGTGAAGGGGAGTCGATAGCAGGCAGGCAGTGCCCGCCTTGAAAAACCACAAGCCCAGCCCTCCAGCCTCGCTGGCTTATCACTGTACCATATGAAAATACCTGATGGAGGGCAGCTACAGGCAGCAGGAGACACAAGCAAGTCACTGATCACTCCCGAATGACACTGGCTGCATCATGGTAACAATGCTGACTCCAGAGCCAGATTGCTCAAGTTGCAGTTCTGATTCTGTCACCTACCAGCTGTGTGACCTTGGGGAAATCCATTATATTTCCCGTGCTCCTCATCACCTGCAAAATTGGGATAATCACAAGGCCTCTCTGCTAAGGCCCGAGGGAGGGCTAGAAGAGCACATCGTCCTCCTGTGTAGTGCTGGCTAGGGCTCCATTCATACTAAGCTCAAACACATGCAGAGGGAAACAGTTCATTGTTAGGAATATAAATGTGAGTTGCAAACAATATAGAGGAGTGAGAGAGTGGTGCGTGGAGAAATCCACACAGGGCTTAGCTCTTGGGGGAGAAGCCCAAGAGGCCCAGATACCAAGAGCCTCCCAGCTACTGTAATATTCTGTTTCATAAGCTGGCCTCGAAGGAATTCATTTTATTAATCTATGTATCTTGCACACACATTGCCCATTCTTTTTGCATGTATGAATTATTTCATAATAAAAATAACAATCCATCAGGCCCCACAGCTTCCTGTCTTCGGGGGCAAGGTGGAGCCCTGCGGAGACGGAGTGAGGCTGGAATGCTGGTTGGAGGTGGGAAGGGAAGGCGTCCCGATGATCCACAGTGGATTCTGTCTGCTGGTGGTGAACAGGTGCTGGGCTTGGAATCAGCCCTCCGACCCCTCCCATCTTACGCAGGCATTTTCCAGCAGCATGACCTTGAGCAAGTCACCTTTCACAGCCTCTCTGTCTTCTGCAGCAAAGTGCGAATTCAGAGGCTTTTCCCTCCTACTAATCAGGGATTAGGGAAGGCTCTAGAAACAAGCTTGATAAAAATGCTGTGTTGAATTATTATGTACAAAGCCCCCCAGAAATAAGTTTGGGGCTGGTCTCCAGATCACTGGTCCAGACCATGCCAAGGTCCCTACCTCCCCATGCACAGGTAAGAGCCGTCCTCTCCCCTAACAGGCCAGGTCAGCCCTCAGACCTATGACTTTGGCATGAAGTTGGTTCTCTTCAGTGTCTGAAGTTCCTACTCCTTCCTAGTCCTCAATCCTTGCTCCAGGTGCCCCCAAAGGTGATTCTCACCTCCAGAAGTAAACTATTGCCTTCTCTTCCCCTCCCTGGTGTAAACCAGCTTTCTGCTCCTGTGACAAAATGCCCAAGGTAAACAATATCTTAGTCACTTTCTTCATTGCTGGGACAAAGTACCCAACATCCATAACCTAAAGGAGTAGAGGTATATTTGGGCTCAGGGTTTTCAGAAGTTTCAGTCCAGAATTGGCTGGCTCCAACACAGAAATGGCATGGTACAAGGGCCTGCCACAGAAAAAGAAAAAAGTGCTCACATCACAGCAACCAGAAAACAGAGAGAAGGGAGGAGCTGGGGAGGGAGATATCCCCCTTCCAGATCATACTCTATGACCAACTTCTTAAGGGCACATTTAGTTACACTCCTAATAGTACCTCCATGATCCAATAACCTTCCAAACACATGAGACTTTTGGAGCCATTTTACATCTAAACCATAACAACAACTTAAAAGGCGGAAAGATTTATTTCGGCTCACGACTTCATAGGGTTCAGTCCATGGTCACTTGGCTCTGTTGCTTCGGACTTGTGTCAGTACAGTAAATCATAGCAGGAGAGTGTGGTAGAAGAGGCCTGCTCATCTCTCAGTGACTGGAAAACAATGACAGAGACTGAAGACAAGGGACTGGTATCCCAATATAACATTCTAGGGCACAACTCCCAGTGACCTAGCTTCCTTCTACATGGACCTATATCCTAAAGGTTCTACCACCTTCCAATAGCTCCACAACATAGTAGCAAAACTTTTTTTTTAATAAGTAGTAGCAAAACTTTTAACTCACAGGCCTTTGGGGATACTCAAGTCATTGCACCATTGATGGCAGATCAAGAAGCTGAGTGATAATTCGTTCCAAGTGTGATCTGCCAGATTCCTAAGCTCATTGCGGGAAATTCTACCTCAGTGGAGAGCAGAAAGAAGGGGAAATGTATGGCTCGTGTCTTTCTAGAGTGGGTCTTTGGACATGTCTTCATCTCTTCAACTTAGGTGACAGTCACAGCCTTGTTGCACACATTTTTGCGAACATGCATGAGGCAGCGGGTGTGGAGTATTAAAAGAACGGAGGCTGCCAACATATTGCATACTTGATGGTGTCAGGCAGTCAATAACCAGCAGTGAGAACTATTAAGATATCTGGGAAAGTTGGGCATGGTGGTGCAGGACTCTGAGCCAGGAGGATCACAAATTTGAGCTCTTTCTGGGCAACTTAAAGACTTATTGAGACCCTGTCTCCAAAAATAAATAAATAAATAAATAGGAAGAGGGGCTGGGGATTTAGCTCAGTGGTTCTGCTGCCTGCCTCAAAAGCGCAAGGACCCGAGTTTGATCCCTGGTACCAAAAAATAAATAAATAAATAGAGGTGGCTATGGGGGATGGTAGCTCGGCGCAAAGGCCCTGGATTCAATACCTAGTGCTGAAAGGAAAAAAAAAAAAAAAAATCTACCCTTAAAATGGACTTGTGGCATAATTTCCCTCTCACCTTACCATTGATTTTTATAAGTAAATTGAACTGTGGTCATTGGCTGATTTCATCTGAGTCTGCATCACTAACTTGCCAGAAGCCATCTAATCATGGACTGAAACCTTGATCCATGACCTGTCACTCTGGAAGTAGTCACGGAGAGAAGGGAGAGGAGAAAGGGAGTAGCAGTCTACCTAGAAAATTCCAGGGAGGAAAAAGTCGTCAGTCCGAGCTCAAAATGAAGGTTGCCATGACAGTGGATTCCCACAGCCAAATGTGCTGTGCCTTCCTGAGGGTGGAGGGACATGTTTGACCCTAGTCTGTCGGCCTGGGTGTGTCCTCTGACCTCTGTTATCACTGAAGGATACTGGGCCGCTGACTCTGGAATGGAAAGCAAGGGGGCACATGGAGAGGGCCTTCCCCCGAAAGATGCTAGGATCGCACCATTGTACACTACCCTATCTCCCTGCCTAGGGGAAAACTGTTGCCTAATAGGGCCAAGAGCCATCCCCCTCCCCTTTACAGTGCTGGGGATTAAACCCAGGGAATGCTAAGCTACATCTCCAGCTCCAATTTATTTTGAGATAGTGTCTTGCTAAATTGTCTAGGATGACCTCAAATTTGCAATTCTCCTGTTTCAGCCTCCTGATTAGCTGAGATTACAGGCACCACCATTTCCTGCAAGATGTTCAAGACCGATGGAGGATGAGTAAGAGGATCCCCATAGGAAGGAGGATCCTGTGGTACGGTCCTGGCTGAGCTATAAAGAATGTCATCATGATGGACTGATTGTGTTTACTCTGGGTGCAGGAGGCAGGCTGCAGCAGCACATTGTAGGTCTATGATCAGTTTGCCGTGGGATTGAACCACTCCTACTTTACCTAGTTTCCCAGTTTACCTAGAGTTGTAGAAAGTGGTCAGAACACACGGTCAGTGGTCATCTGGGTAAGACGTGAAAGTCGTGGCCATCAGACAAGGTGGGCAGAAGCTGGCAATGTGGCAGCATTGGATGAGCTGCAGCCCCAGAGCAACCTCTTCCTAACCAAGTCTCTGGTTCTATAGCTCTTGCCCCTGGCAGGCAGACTGCCCTGTGCCATGTGTGATTCCAGAGGAGGTCCTAATACCACAGCCCAGTGCTCAGGGGTTAGCCGTGTCCCTACCTGTGCCTAGAGAGGTTGGTTCTGTGAACTTTCTCCCACTCCTGGCCAGGGTCAAGGGCTTAGAGTCGAAGGGCTCGTTTTAGGTACTGGTTGTGCAACCTTGAGCCTCTGACTTCACCTCCCTCAGATGCAGGGTCTTCATCTGTAAAATGGGAAGAAAAACAGTCCTGGCTTTATACGTGGAATGGTCACATGACTTATGCCCCAAACAGGGACAGTGATGAGAATGATTCATCAATATACCCAAAAAACCCCCAAACACCCAGGCATCACTGGGAGTCATTTCAGAAAAACCTGGGTCTGTGGGCGCCCTCTACATCCGGCCATTATGAGGAGGCAAACAGGAAATGCGGGTCAGTCCCTGGAGCAAGCTCTTCTGTCTGTGCAGCGCTAGCTACTAAAACCACCCACATCTTTAGCAGCACTATCTTCCTTTCTTTTGGGTTGTTTCCGTCCACCCATAAGCACGCAGCAAGAGTTCCGCCTTTAAAACGGCAGTAACTTCCCAGGCCCCGCCCCTCCACTCCTCTGTACTCCTTCTTCACTGGCTGACAGTCAAGGTCCTCCCCTGGCCTCCACAGGCCTTGACAGGTCCCAGGCTGACTCTGTGCCTCCTATGTCCCTGCCCTCCTGACAGCTGGTTCTGGCCGAGCACGCAGGCCTCCTGAGCCCCACCAAGCTCTTTCCCGCTTCTCAGCCTCCACAGTGACTTTCCCTCTGCCTGGCACACTTTCCCCCACAGTTTTGCACAGCTCTCTTCCTTGCTTCCCTAGGTGTAGGCTCCGTCCCTTCCCTACCCGGCTCTTCATAGTACTTCTGTATCCTGAAGTGAGAACGTGCATTCATTGGATCCAATGAGAAGCTTGGTTTCTCTCTCTGGAAGGTGCGTTTCAGAGGCAAGGATTTATTCACTCAATCCTTCCTGCTCCGAGACCAGAACAGTGCTCGGCTCATGCCAGGTGCATAATCAACACTTCCAGATGGATGAAATGGTAACTGATATTATTGCTTATAATATCCATTCATGGTGCACACTATTACCATGAGCAATATACAGAGTTAGTTGACTGGCAAACCTGAGTACCTTAGAGAACGCTTGTGAGGTGACTCACAGACCCGTTCAACCTGTCTCTTTGTCTCTGTTTCTGGAAAGCAGGTGTTCTCCACCTGGGAGGTGCCTCCTCCCATAGTTTTCCAGATGGACTCAGTGCATTTCCTCATTTACAACACCTCTGATGTGATTACCACCAGCGGGAAGAGCGGCCAGCAACACAGACAAGGGCCTGCTCGTCAATCAGGGCCTGGAGTTAGGTGTTTGCTCTCCATCCTTGGTCACGTGCTCTGCTCTCAGGGCGCCACTGGAACTCTGTACCCTCCAGGGGCTGGAGCAGCTGAGGCTGAGGTCTAAGTCCTATGAGAAGGAGGTGGAGACCAACCATTCTTCCTGTTGCCCCACCGCCTTGGGGTTAGTTGGAATAGGCTGTGCTCTCTGCCCTCCCCAAGAGTGGGCCTTCCAAGCCTGCCCTTGGTCCGCAGAGCTTCCAGAATCAGCCAAATCCTGCTGGATTGGACAGCAACTCTATACCTCCAGTTCTGTGACTGTGAACAGGCCATTTAACCCAGGGGCCAGAAAATGTTTCCTACCAAGCCATAGAGAGTAAATACTTCAGGCATTGGGGATCACCATCCCTGTCACAGCTAGTCATCTCTGCTCTTACAGCAAGAAGGCCAGGGCCGGGGATTTAGCTCAGTGGTTCCACCACCTGCCTCGCAAGTAGAAGGTCCCAAGTTCAATCCCCAGTACAAAAAAAAAAAAGAAGGCCATAGACAGTACCCAAACTAATGAGTGTGGTTGTTTGCCCCAGTAAAACTTTATTTATACAAACAGAAGGCTGGTCATATTTGTAGACCTCTGATTTAACCCGAGACTCAGTTTCCTCATCTATAAAATAGGGATAGTAGTACCTTAAAGTTGATACAGACAAAAGTACTTAAAACTCTTCAGTAAGTGTTAGGTTGTTTCATTTATGGCAACCCCCTCTCTTGGCCTGCCCTTGAGAATCCTGCCCCGGGAACCCCCCTGGGCTCCCAGGAGCCCCTGTGCTGCCTCAGTGGGCCATGTGGCTGAACACATCACCTTGACTTCCTTTCTGGGAGCCTGGGAACCGCGGACAGCGTATCCTGTTTATTTCTGCCTGGCTTTTATTGTGTCTCTCCATTCTGCAGCAGCCCTGGGGCTGGGGCAGGCTGAATGGTGAGCTGGCTTTCAAAGCAGGAGGGCTTGTGTGAACACCTGATTAGGCTGTGCGAGACACAATAGCACACCGGGCCCTGAACGCAAAGCCCCCTGCCTTCCCTCATCTGGGCAGCTTTGTGCTTGATTTCCTTCTCTGCGGCCTCATTTAGCTTTTTCTGTTTTCTTTATTCTGCTCCTTCTTCCCCCTCCTAATCTGCTTAACAACTTGCCTCGCTCCCTGCTTGCCTTGCCTGCCATCCCCTCTGCTTCCTGCGCTTCTGCTCAGGTTCCTAATAGCGTGGCTATGCCTGCATTTAATAAAAGCTGCTGACAGGGAAATCCGAGCTAACTGAATTACTTTCTCATTAAAGAGGGCTGCAGATTCCCGGGCCGGGGCCTGTAGCTACCTGGCTGCCTTCCCTCCCTGCCTCTCCCTGCTGGGACTTCCCTGCCATATGCAATTAGGTGGCAGATGCCTTGGGGCCCAGCAGTGGTGGTGGCTGGGTCCTGCAGGGGGAGGGGAGCGGCTGTCAGCCTCTCTCCAAGGTGAGATCCAGCTCTGTCTCCTTTTCCCACCTTCCTGGAGGTATTGTTCTCCAGCCTGAGAACTTGCCCAAGGTCACCGAGCCTCCTGCTGCTGACTTTGGCCTGGGCCTTGAGCCAGCTGATGCCTCCCAGAGTCTTCCCTTGGCCTCAGGGAAGTCAGGTTCCTGCAAGGGTGTGATGCTGGCAGCCCATCCTGCACCCTCCTTCCCTAAATATCTCCCTGCTGGGTTTCTCTTGGCTGGTGGCTGGGGCCTCCCCCCTGCATAGACCCCAACCGTGTGCCACCAGCCCCCTATCCCACAGAGAGACAGCCTCTCCTGTTTCTCTTTCTGATTGCTCCTGGGCGGGCAGCTGATAAGTACCTTATAGGTGTAGCTAGTAAGGAGATCAGAACAGGTTACTCTAAAAGCTGGCTGCATCCTGAGCCTTTTACTTGAAGACACTGGAAGATTTACTTGTTCTTTTGTTTAAGAAAACACCTTAATGGGCCGCAGGCCCCTGGGCTCTACTACATGGGGAAAGATTGAGACAGAGAAATATTGACTTGCTCTGCACGGTAAAGGAAAAGAAAGTGGAGTTTCCCCCAAGCAGCCAGGTGGTGAGGACAGGGACTCTGGGAGGGGATGAACATGCAGGAGGCAGGAGGGGAAGAAGGGGGTTGGTCTCAGTTTCCTCTGCAGTCATGGCAACTGCCCGCCAGGGGATGAACACCCTACCTAACTCTAACCCAGTGTTCACTTCTTGGGACAAAGTTCCTGCCAGAAACCTCTTTTGGGGGCAAGAGCTTCCTAAGCAAAGGCCACTCAGTAATAAGACATTCTGGCCCTTGTCCGTGAAGACCCTCAGTAAAGTGCTTCAGACTGGTAGGCTGCTGTGGCAATCCATGGTCTACCGCTGCTACTTGATTATGATACTAATACAGTTGCAGCCACCTGAATTCATGGACCAGTGATCTCTTTGTTTAGTGATGCACCGGTGGGTGACTTTTGCCTGAGATTATTTATCTGGCTACCCCAATGGCCCTCTCGGGAGGGGGCTGTCACTCTAGGACACCTGTTGACCCAAATATTGTCACTCCTCTAGCCACAGAAGAAATGGGGACCTCAACTCGGCTCACCAAGTAGGTTCTTGACTCTCAGCACAGAAAAATATGGCAAAATGTGTTAAGGAGAGTCATAGACAGATTTTATTAGGAACATTTAAAGAAGTACACAGTAAAAATAGTGTAGACTCTCAAAAGAGAAGCATGCTATGGCTGGGTTGGGGATATATGTGTGTTCTTGGAGATACTATCCTTTAAGATGGGTGACCTAAGATGTTTTCCTTTGAGTCTGTTTCTTCATTTTAATTGGACGAAGGTTTCTACCTTTACTTTATCAACTAGATTAATTTATGGAATTATAGTATCTGTAGGGATTCAGGTGTGATAGACCTGGAAGAAAAAACAAATAAACAAACCTAGGAAGGAAAGATGTGGAGTACAGGTATGGATAACCTTGGCTAACTTTGTGTCCTGAAGTTGCAATTTTCTTAAAAGTGCAATTTTAAGATTACAATTTTCCTTGTCTCCTTCCTACCTATCTTTATTTATTTTATCCTACCTCAAGCCAAGAAAGGAGGCCGCTTTCTGGGGGTCTCTTCTTGAAGCCTGGCTTCCCCCACCCCAGTTCCCACATCCTCTTCCCTGGCTTTGGGATCCAAGCACCCCAGACTTGTTCCCAGTTTGGGAAATTGTGGCCCTTAGCTGTTTGGCTAGAGAACCTCCCTCCTGATAAACGGTGGCAGAATAGGAAGTGCTCTTGTGTCTTATTGAGGCTCAGCAAATGATGCCCCAAAGTGTGGTCCTTTGCCTAGCTGAGCTGGGGAAACAATTTCAGAGAGACAATCAATGCATAGAGAAGGAATTCAGATCCATAGTATTGGGTTTTTAATGAGGTTGTCTAAGAGGCAGAGACATGAAGGGTCTCTAACCTTTCTCTGCACCCTCACTTCTCAGACATCTGTGATCCCCTTTCTCCGAGCAGCACAGAGAGGGGTTTTCTCTCAAGTTCCCTTATCGGAAGTACCTAGCCAAAGGAATCTTATGAAATCTACTAACTAGGAATGATTAACTAGCTGAGAAGAGAGAAAATCTAGCCCTACCCTTAGAGACCAGAGTCTGTTCTTTGGGCCATTCACTTCCCCTAACAATCATTTACTTTCCCTCTAGCATTGCCTGCAGGCCCTCACTTGGGTCTCCCCACTAAAGAGGGTGCTTAAGCCACAACCATCTGGCCCTGCCTTGTGTTTTGTATCAGGTATGACACCTGTGTACATGTGCATGTTAATAAACCGAAATGCTTTTTCTCTTGTTTATCTGTTTTTTGTCGGTTCATTTCACCAAAACTTTCAGAAGACAAAGGGGAAATTTTCTTTGGTCCAGTGGCCTCCAGCTAAAGACTCACCAAAGGGGAGAAAACTGCTGCAGCTCCAACTCCATGTCTTGAGAAAATCACTCATATGTCAGCATTACATTAAGGCACCCAAGGTTACATGAAATCCACAGAGGGCTTCGTTCTCCTCTCCTGTCTGGAACTTATGTAATAGGGCTAGGTGAGTTGGAACTATAGAGATGAGCCACACTCTGGACCTAATTGACAGATTCAGTAGAGTAGCTGGATATAAGGTCAACACTCAAAAGACAATAGC